AAATAGTTTGACAGTGTTGAGGGAATTATTTGTTTAGCAGAGGGATGGCGTTCAGGGGAAAACTGTCCTTGTGTTAAGTTCTCTTGGTGTGCAGTGCTCTATAGGGCCGTTTTGAGGGTAGGAGTTGAAACAATTTATGTCCAGGATGTGAGGAGTCTGTAAGTATTTTCACGGCCCTCTTTTTGACTTGTGCAATGTACAGGTCCTCAATGGAAGGCAGGTTGGTAGCCATTGTTTTTTCTGCAGTTCTAATTATCCTCTGAAGTCCGTGTCTGTCTTGTTGGGTTGCAGAACCAAACCAGACAGTTATGGAGGTGCAGATGACAGACTCAATCAGTCCTCTGTAGAACTGAATCAGCAGCTCCTTGGGCAGTTTGAACTTTCTGAGTTGGCGCAGAAAGAACATTCTTTCCTGTGCTTTTTTGATGATTTTTTAATGCTAGGAGTCCATTTTAAGTCTTGAGATATGGTAGAAACTTGGTAAGCAGGGTAGCAAGAAAGCCTTGGCAAGTGCGTATCGTTTTTGTTCTACATGCCAACACCTCCATTTGATTAAGTTCTGCTTCTTCATTGTGCAATGTTTTTAGTAGAATCACATCAGCAAGTCAAGCGGGTAGATTTTGCTCTTGGCCCCCTTCCTAGGAAGCCATTGACAACTGCAAAAGGAAGCTGGCTTGAAATTCATGCCAGGTTTGAAATGAAGCACCAGAAACTGGCATTGCTTTAATGTTGCCACTCCACTGGAGGACAGCTAAGGAGAATACCAAGGCACATGACCTAGCTCAGGGCTGTCAAACACCCGGCCCGTGGGATGTCTCACGTGCTGGCCATGCCCAGGCTCAGTTTAGCGAAGGGGGAAAAAAATCCCGATATGTCATGTGACATCACCATGGTGACGTGAGTGTGACATCTGCCATGCCCACCTGGTTGGCTGTTAAATGACTCCATTGTTTTTTCAACTCAGAAGATGGCTTGAATACCTCCCCTAAAAATCTATTCCCCTCTCAAATATTATGAACATGTTTTTGTTTTTAGACCTAGTGAAAATTAGATGGCTTCTAACTCAGAACTACAATGACGTGGTGGCTCAGTGGCTAAGACCGCTGAGCTTGTCGATCAGAAAGGTCAGCAGTTCGGTGGTTCGAATCCCCAGCGCCACTTACTTATCCCAGCTTCTGCCAACCTAACAGTTTGAAAGCATGTAAAAATGGAAATAAAAAAAATAGGGACCACCTTTGGTGGGAAGGTAACAGTGTTCTATGCGCTTTTGGCGTTTTAGTCACGCCGGCCACATGACCACGGAGACGTCTTTGGGTAGTGCTGGCTCTTAGCTTTGAAAAGGAGATGAGCACCGCCCCCGAGAGTTAGGAATGATTAGCACATATGTACAAGGGGAACCTTTACCTTTAACTCAGAACTTGTCTTGCACCCAAATAAAGAGAAAACCTTACATAATTGGTAAACTTAGAAGGAATTTCCCAAGTCACCTAAGGAAATTAGTTTTTCCAAAGAGCTCCAAAAATTAAATACATCTCAGTTACAAACCTTTGTACCAGTGAGTAGGAACTAAACATACTAGTTACAGGACTGTTATTTTAAAAATCTAGAGGAGGCTAAAATTCAAAAATGTGGAGCAGTGATTATTCCAATAGTCTCCTGTATGAATTCCATATTTATTTTGGTTATGTTTGGATCTATGAAGCAGCAGAATTAGGCAGTTGAATAGCTGAGTTGAATAGATATGGAGGGAGAATGTAAATGGCTGCGCTAACCCACCAGAATTAAAATCAGGGATGTCCAACTTTGGCAACTTTAAGACTTGTGGACTTCAACTCCCAGAATTCCAGAAATCTGGCTGGAGAATTCTGGGAGTTGAAGTCCACAAATTTTAAAGTTGCCAAGGTTGAGAAACATTGCCCTAAATCAACCTTGATTTCTGGTTGCCAAGGTTTTTTTGGCAGCATCACCAAAGCAATATGGCATTACCTTCATCCAATTCCTCTTTTCCTCTTCCTCCTCTTTGCAATTATGAATTCCTGGTGGTTTTCCATCCAAATTCTGTCCCTGATTACCTTTCAGCCAAAAGAGATGCTACTGCCATTCATCTGTAGCCAAGAATGACTTATCCATCAATTAAAAATAGAAATTAATTGCACCTTCTGTCTGCAAAGATACAACACAGAAGAAAGGGGAAACCATTTAGGAATGCTGGATCCCAAGGTTGGATCACTCTTAGAGCAACCTGTTGTAAAATGCAGCCAAGGTTACAATCTGGTGGTGATTTCTCAAATGAATTGACAGATTGTTTGCTTGACTTTGCATTTGGCTGATGAAAGAGGACCAGGTCACCTAGTAGAGGGGTCTGCAACCCTAAAAAAGAGCCATTTCGACACCACAGAAAACACTGGGAGCCACAAAACCTGGGTAGGTGTGGCCAACTCGACGTCACTCACACCCACCCAATCACATGACACACACACACACACACACAGCCATGCCTGCCCAGGTTTTGTGGCTCCCAGTGTTTTCTGTGGGAAATAGGCATCTCTCTGTGTGCATCTCTCTCTCTCTCTTTCTGTCCCTTTCTCGCTCTCTCTCCCCTTCTCTCTCTATTTCTGACTCTGTCTCTTCCCCCCTTTCTCTCTCTCTCTCTCTCTTTCTCCCTTTCTCTCTCTCTCCCCAGGCATGGAGTGACTGGAAGGGGTGGGCGAGGGGCGGTGCCAGCCAGTGATGGGTTCAGCTGACAGGGAGCCACAGCAGGGAGATGAAACAGCCGCATGCAGCTCCAGAGCCACAGGTTGCTGACACCTGACCTAGTAGATGATCATGGAAAATCAAAGCAGCTTTTGTCAATAACATATACGGTGTTTCTTTCCAGTCCTAATAACCTGGAAGAAAAATGGGCCATTCCCCTTTGCGGGTAAAGTAAGCAAACTAAATAGGAAAATAAGTGTGAGCCCTGACAGGCTTGATTGTGCACGTCGGTGTACTTTTTAAAAAATTTTTTAAACTACTACAGTAACTTGCTTGTTTCGGAAAGTCGTTTCTCACATGCAAAGGGAGCTGGTTGGAAAGTGTGTTTAGTTTAGCCAGTTGAAGGCAAAAAATAAATAAATGAGCCATATTCTCTTGACAGGCGACAATTGGGCATGTTTTGTTGAATGACTATTGTCATGCACATTCTTAAATCTTGAATCGTGATTTGCAAACTGCACAATTGCAAGGTGAAAACTAAGCAAAACACATTAGTGTGATGTGTGAACCCAGACTGAGATAGTTCAATGAAATCTTCATGTATCATCATCATCATCACCATCATTTTGCTTCAGAGGTGAAGAGAAGGTTCCCGAGAATGCCTCATCACCTTGTGATGGCTTCAAATGTTTTGTTAATTTTGTAAGGCAGTTTGTTTCTTTTTGTGCTGTGAATTTGTGGTGCTGTGAACACTTGTTTATTGTGCCTGAAGTTTTTGGATAATGATTTTGAAACTTGGGAGCTTTTGAGACGGGTGGGCTTCCACTCTTAGAATTCCCCAGCCACAATGCGTGTTGAGGAATTCTAAGAGCAGAAGTCCACCCGTTTTAAAAGTTCCCAAGTTGGAAATTTCCAACATTGCTATGTGCGAATCCACCAGTTACACCTATCGGTACTACAAGTCAGACAATTAATAGAATAGAACAGAATAGAAATAGAATAGCAATAAATTAGAAATAAAATAGAAATAGAACAGAGTAGAAACAGAATAGGAATAGAAATAGAATAATAGAAATAGAATAGAAAAGAAACAAATACATATAGAATGGAAATAGAATAGAACAGGAATAGAGATAGAATAGAAATAAAATAGAAAAGAAATAGAATACAAATAGAATAGGAATAGAAATAGAATAAAAAAGAAATAGAATACGTATACAAATAAAATAGAAATAGAATACAATAGGAATAGAGATAGAATAGAAATAAAAGAAATAGAAAAGAAATAGAATAGGAATAGAAATAGAATAGAAGATGGAATAGAATGAAATGGAATGGAGTAGAATAGAATTCTTTATTGGCCAAGTGTGATTGATTGGACACACAAGGAATTTGTCTTTGGTGGATATGCTCTCAGTGTACATAAAAAGACAAGATACATTTAATCACGAATCATAAGGTACAACACTTAATGATAGCCACAGGGTACAAATAAGCAATCAAATGCACCGTAGAAGAAGAAAAAAAGAAACGAGAAAGGCGAGAAAGCAAAATCAGTTTCCACTGTTCTCAATTTCAGGTTTTAAATCAAGGGGAATTTAGAGGAGATTACAGAAGGCAAGTTGGAAGGACAAGACGGGGGGACTGCAACTCTTACGGCGATCGGCAGAGGGCAGCAAAAGCGCAAGGACGTTTGACTCTCGGGTGCGATCTGGCGGTCGTCATCCCTTTGCAGCCCCCTTTCTGCAAATGCAGGGGGGTTAATCAGAAGGCCTGCAAGCCCCCCCAGCCCTATTTCGCCCCTATCAACCGCGTTATAAAAGGGGAGGGGAGAAGCCCGCACCCAAAAAAACCATCGCCCTTCCGCGTAAGCGACCCAATTGCGCCCCCCCCCCTGCATACCTGATGCGCCACGCGGACCGGCTCCTCCGAAGGGAGCGGAGCTAGGCTAGTTTCCAGCGAATCCCCCGCGCGAGAGGCGGGGCGACGTTGCCGGACGGGCCAATGGGAACACAGGGGCGGGCGCGTCCAATGACGGCCTGGAGGCGGGGCGGCCGCTCTCTTGATAATGAGCATGCGCGGTGGCGGCCGCCTGTCAATCCCTGCGCTTGAGTTGCGGGGCCTTCAGCGAAGCGAAGCGAAGCGGCGTTGTGAGGTGAGGCGGTCGGGAGCCCGGAGCGGAGGGGATGCTTGGCCGCCGAGCGGGGCCCGCCCGGGGTGGAAGGTGTAGGGAAGGGGTCGGAGGGAGGAGAGAGAGGTAAGGGAGGGAGAAAGGACGGGAAGGAAGGGCAGGGAGAGGAAGAGGGAGGGAAGAAGGAAAGGGAGGGAAAGGGAAGGAAAGGGAGGGAAAGGGAAGGAAAGGGAAAGAAGAAGGAGGGAAGGAAGGAAAGAAAGAAAGGGGGAGGGAGGGAAAGGAAGGAGAGAAAGAAGAAGGGATAGAAAGGAAGGAAGGCTAGAAGGAGAAGAAGGGATAGAAAGGAAGGAAGGAGAAGAAGGGATAGGAAGGAAGGAGAGAAGGAGAAGAAGGGAGAAAGGAAGGAAGAAGAAGAAGGGATAGAAAGGAAGGAAAGGAGGAGGAGGGAAGGAAGAAGAAGGGAGAGGAAGTAAAGGGAGAAGAAGAGGGAGGGAGGAAAGAGGCAGGAGGAAAAGAGAGAGGGAGGGAAGGAAAGGGAGAAGAAGACGGAGGGAGGGAGAGGGAAAGAAGGACTGAAGAAAGAAAAGAAAGGGAGAAGAAGAGAAAGGAAGGAAAGAAAGGGAGAAGAAGAGGGAGGGAGGAAGGAGGGAGGGAAGGAAGGAAAGGGATGGAGAAGGAAAGAAGAAGGAAAGAAAGAAAGGGAGAAGAAGGAAGGAAAGAGGGAGAAGGGAAGAAGAAGGAGGGAAGGAAAGAGAGACAAAGAAGAGGGAAGGAAGGAGAAGAAGAAGGGAGAGAAAAGAAGGAGGAGGGAAGGAAGAAAAGAGGGAAGAAAGGAAAGAGGGAAAAGTAAAGAAGAAGGAGTAGGGAAATGAGGAAGAAAAGGGAGGGAGAAGGAAAGAATGAGGGAAGGTAGGAAAGAAAGGGAGAAGAAGAGGGAGGGAGGAAGCAAGCAAGCAAGCAAGCTGGAGGGAAATGAGAGGGCAGGTGGGGGGTTCAAACTGCCCTTCTAGGCTGCTCCTGCTACCTGTCACTCCTCCCACTGCGCTCTAGAGTAGTTGGATTACAACTCCCATCATTCCCCACCAGCCTCCTTGTTTCTTGACACTAATGGCATTGATGGGAGTTGTAGTCCAGTTCTGGAAGGAAGTGGGGGAAATTGATACATATCCCTCTATGGTGTATGTCTTCACCCCCCCCTTCCAGATTCTTGCTTCCTGCGCAAGGAGGGAGCTCTCCCCCAATCGCACCCCCATACCAGAGGTGCCCCTGTAGGGCAAGGTTCCTGAACCATAACACTTTAGGAGATCTAGACTTCAATTCCCAGTATTCCCCAGGAAGCCCTGGCTGGGGGGATTCTGGGAGTTGCGGTCCAGACCCCCTAAAGGTGCTTAGGTTGACAAGCACTCAATAGGGGTTGACTACTTCTTCCTTTAATTGATTGCAAGCCAAGGAGGATATCCGTTATGTTGAGGTTGGCCAGGAAAAGTGGGTTATGGATCCAAGGACAGGAAGATAATTCGTCTGCTGTCGGCTGGGCTGGCTTCCTAGTGCTAAAGATGCTTAACAGAATAAGCATGGAAACATGGACAAGACCAGGTTATCTAGTCCAACCCCCAGCCCAAGTAGGAGACCCTACACCATTTCTGACCGATGGCAGTCCACTCTCTTCTTGAAAGCTTCCAGTGATAAAGCTCCCACAACTTCTGTTCCATGGGTTGATGGTTCTCACTTTCAGAAAATTCCTCCTTATTTTTAGGTTGAATCTCTCCTTGTTCAGTTTTCATCNGAGGCAATATGCTGACTCTGTAAACTGCTTAGAAAGGGCTGTGAAGCACCATGAAGCACTATATGAATCTAAGTGCTATTGCTATGTATTCATTAATGATTTATAATCTCTTCATAGTCATCGCCTGGACATAGATAGAATGATATAAAACCTGTCTTTGTTATGGTTGCTTTGGTGTAATGATTGGGTAGATCAGGGCAGGGGTGAAATCCAGCAGGTTCCGACAGGTTCCGACAGGTTCTGGAGAACCATTAGTGAAAATTTTGAGTAGTTTGGAGAACCGGTAGTGGAAATTTTGAGTACTTCGGACAACCGGCAAATACCATCTCTGGCTGGCCCCAGAGTGGAGTGGGAGTGGAGATTTTGCAATATCCTCCCTTCAGGAGTGGGGAGGGAATGGGGATTTTACAGTATCCTTCCCCTGACACGCCCACAAAGCCACACCCACAAAGCCACACCATGCCCACACGGCCACGCCCACAGAATTGGTAGTAAAAAAAAAAAATTGAATTCCACCACTGGACCGAGCCAAAGACCAGGTGATGGGAAGATCCAAGGCACCAAGTGGACCTTCAGTGTCCGTTGAATTCACTTTTTATGCCCTGAAAGTTCTTTCTCATCCTGCATGGAAGGAAGCATCCCTTTGATCTTCCAGATGGCCAGCAGAAGGAAGATGCCTAGCTCCTTCTGACATGTCAAATTAACTAGGAAATAAAAAATCCTCCAGTCAAAATCTGGTATCTTGTCCAAATGTGAAAAAGAGAGTGTTTACTCTGCTTTACTCCTCTATTCTTTCTATTTTGTCGTTGGAATAAGGTTATCACCTTAACCTACTAATCTGATCAAAGAGTCCTCCAAAAGGAACTATCTAGCAAACCCATCATCTTTTCAGATCTTCTGCAATTTCCATAATTGCCACCACTTTGCTGGCTATGAAAATTACAGCCACCAAGACAACAGGATGGATTGTCGTGTTTGGTTTGAAGACAAATGGTGTCTATGGCTCCTTTCATGGGGCAGGGTCCCATGAAGGCTCTGGGGGTTTACTTGGTTCTCAAGAGAGTTGGCATCAATGCTAAGCTATTTACGGGTGGGTGGGCAAGCATTAGATTGCAGAAGTTCTCCATATTGTGTAGGAGAGACAAAGAAGCATCTGTGTTTCCTTGCAGGTAAAAGAATGACAGAGTTGGAAGGGACCTTAGAGATCTAGTCCAACCCAAAGAGTCCCTTTACCATGTCAGACAAATGGTTGTCCAATCTCTTCTTAAAAACTTCTTCCAGTGCTGGAGAACTCACAACTTCTGGAGGCAAGTTGTTCCATTGATTAATTGTTCTAACTGTCAGGAAATTTCTCCTCAGTTCTAAGTTGCTTCTCTCCCTGATTAGTTTCCACCCATTGCTTCTTGTTCTGCCCTCAGGTGCCTTGGAGAATAGCTTGACTCCCTCTTCTTTGGGGCAGCCCCTCAAAGATTGGAGCACTGCTATCATGTTACCCTTAGTCCTTGTTTCT